TTGGGAATCGACCCATTATCTCGAGATCACGAAAGCGATGGCCGCCGGGGACTCAGATCTCTTCACCTACCACCAAGATCGACGTCAGCAACGGATCCGAGCTGGAGAAAGTTGGCGGAAACTGTTGGGGGAATGCTTCTTAATAATGAGGACCCAGTGGGCCGATATCGACGTCCTGCTGGATCCCTATTTCCTCCACCTGCCGCCAGTACGGGATCGGGTACGTTGGTATCCTGGATCGGTCTCCAGGGCGGCCAATCTTACGCAGCCGACAGCGAATCTCCCCGAGCCGACCGACCTGATCACGGCCCTGTTTGAGTGCGATCAGGCGGATCCCTGGAGGAATCACTACCGTGATCCCGGTTCCGCTCATCCGTCGCTGCAGATCCCTCGCCTCGTGAACAAATTCAACCCTCCAGCGGCCCCTTGATCGTCGATCTAGCTCCCACTCTTCGGCCACTTCCGTGATCTCCGGTTTCCTACCCGTGATCACGTTTCTTCCTTGTGATCTCGTAATTCATAAGCAAGCCACATCTTCTGCTTGTTTGCTCTTTTCGGCGCCATTCCTCAGTGATCTCTCTTCCGATTCATCATGTCTTCCGTGATCTCTTGCGACGGCTTCCATATGCACATATACAACATGAATGCCTGATCTCGGTCTTATCTGACCGGTATTCCTTCGGGGTCGAGACGATCAGGTAATCTCACCCCGTCCTCCTTACATCTCCTCATGTGATTGCATCACATTAAAGCGGTTCCGATTGGCCCGTTCTCACAAATATTGCCCCGCAGTTGAGATCGGCTTCGTCGACCCAGGTTGGCTCATCATATCCAACCCAGTGCACCAGGAATTCTCGGTAGATCCGACCGAATCGTGTCTTCTTCCCACTCCGCAAATCGGAGATCCGCTCGACTTCGTACTCATCGGCTCCGAGATCTGGGACCCAACTGTCCACCGGAAGCAGGATCTCATCGAAATCGAGACGATCCGCCTAATCCACCGTAAGTTCTACTCTTGGCCGATCCGGAAAATCCTTGACAATTTTCAACTTCGACACGTGCACTACTGGGAAGATCTGATACCCGGTACCCGCGACCTCGAGCTTGACGCTGAACTCGTTGATCTTTTCGGCGACTCGGAACGGCCCATGCCACAGGTGAGCCAATTTTCGCGCATATCCTTCCTTCACCCGATCTAGGTATAGCCAGATACGAGATCCGGCCTCGACCTGGTGCGATCCGACGTCCTCGTTGTGTCGGCCGGCCCGATCTGCAATGACCTCCTTCAATCTAGCGTTGACTTGCTCTCGGGACTGTTGATAATATCGCTGGATCCGATAACGCCACCGCCGAGCGTCTCGATCGTGCCGTCTAGTGCAGACGACTGGCAGTGTTGCTTCCATCGTCGATCTCGGATCCCACCCATGTACCAAATAGTGAGGTGTATCTCCTCGGATCCGATCGTGGGCCGTGTTGATCGCGAAGGTGAGTCGCTCGGCGTATTCGTCCCAATCCTTCTGATCGAGATCGCGAACGTACATCTTGAGCGCCCTGGTCGTGGTCTGCACCATTCTCTCAGCGGTCCCGTTGGCTTGTGGTCGATATGCCATCGTCACCCGCTGCCGTTGTCCCAGGATCTTGTTAAACGCCCGGAAGAAATCGGACATGAAGCCGGGTTATCGATCATGCCGGATCATCTCACTGGCACCAAATAGCCGAAATACACACTCTTCGTACGATTCCGCAACCGTCTGGGCCGATGGCGACGAGCTGGCTTTCGCGATCACATATCCTGTGAACAGATCGACAAAGATCAATAACTCAGTGTTTCCCTTGTGGTATCTGGGTAGCGACGGTATGTGATCCATCGCAACGATCTGGAACGGGTACGTCGCCTGCAAGTTCCCCGGTGATTCACCTCGGATCACCGGTTTTCCTTTCCCTGTTTCGCAGTCCACACATTCCCCCACGTATCGCTGAACACTCCGATATAATCCTCTCCAGTGGAAGTGATCCCTGATCCGCTGGTAGGTGCGTCCCACTCCCTGATGTCCTCCTTCCAACGTGGTGTGATAGTGATGTAAGACGTCCGATTGCAGCGTTTCGGGAACTACCAATCTCAGCAATCGGTCGCGATCGTCCCCCGATCTCGGCGTGGGAGGACAGTAAAATAGTAGATCCTGCTCGTCTAACTCGTAGTCGGCCGCGATCTTGCCATACGATCTCGCTTCCGCTTGTGTGAGGTCTGCGATCGGGCCACTCAGATACTTCTTCATGCCGGCGATCCAGACTTCTTCCTCCTGGGCCTCTTTGATCCGATCGACCCGGATCTCCAGGATCAGATCCTCTTGCATGACACCTGCAGGTGGTCTTACTCGACCAGCTCGAGTGGTAACTGCTGCAACTCGCACCACTGGATTCTCGGTCTTGGGAATCAAGATTTCGTCTAACCGGTTCAGAGTGACCAGATCCTTGTACCCGGGCATCTCCTGGACCTCGATCCCGCCTTGTCGTTGCAAAGCGGCGCTCGCTAGACTGTCGGCACTTCCGTTCCAGTCCCTCTTGACATGCACCAACTCATGATCACTCCATTTCCTCAGATGATCGAGGGCCTTCCGCTTCAATAGCGTCAGCCCGGGTGCTTTGCAATCGATCTCGCCCCGTACTTGTCGGATCACTAAGTTGGACCACCGCAGACCACCAAGCGTCTGCGATCCAGGTCCTCTAGCATGTCGAGTCCCAGGATCAGGCCGTTATATTCTGCTTCGTTCACGGTGAGGCTATCGAGATAGCCCGATCTGGCCTTGACCACTTCCCATCCGGGCAGACTCCACACGATCGCGCTGAACGCGCCCCCACCACGCTTAACTCGAGCGGATCCGTCAAAGCCGACCACCCATAGTTTCTCTTCTCGATCTACGGTGGGTATCGGTGCTTGGATCCGGCGTTTAGGTTCCTCCCGGGGAGCGATTTCGGTCAGAGCATCGTCCATTTTCGCCCTCGGCGTGATGCTAGCAGCGATCGCCCCCCAGTATTTCGTCCTCGTCCTTCGTGCACTTCGTGATCTCGAGCGACCACGGGACCAGGAGGGCGGACCATTGTCCTAGGCGACCCTGCAATCCCGCCGATTTGAACAGCCAAACCAACGTGGAATGTCTCGTTAGGATGTGGATCTCGCGTCCTACTAGCAAATTGTAATAGAGATCCAAGATCCTCAGCAATGCCAACACCTCCTTCTCCGTTACATTGTAATTCAACTCGTTCGCCTTCAAGGTGCGACTGGCGAACGCCACTGGATGATAGATCCCGTCGTGTTCTTGCGTCAACGAGGCGGATATCGCCCAATCACTGGCATATACGATAACTACCGGCGTTCTCGTCTCGTCGAAATGGCGGAGGATTGGGGTAGTCGCGATCTTGGTTTTCAGGGTGGTGAAGGCCCTATGTTCCCTGATCCACCTCTCATCCACTGGTTCCGTCCGTTTCAGTACCGGTGGGTCGTGATCTCGAGGAATCGGGTCGTTCCGGTCCACGATCTCCCTCGGGTCCGATCGTTTCGCCAGTTCTGCAAACTCCACCTCAAGTAATTCGTAGAGCACCGAAGCATAGATAGAGTAATCTTCAATGAATCGGCTGTAGTAATCCGAACTACCCAAAAATGACTGCATAGATCGAAGTGATCCGGGGAATGGC